TGCTTTGACTCTAAATTATGACCCCGAAGTACCTAAAACTTGGAAATCTATCTGTCCCGATTGCAACGGTGTGGGAAGCCTCACTACTAATCTAACATGTTTTTTTTAATTATTTGTAATATCTTTTGTCCGACCGTTTCTTTTTTCTAGCTTGGGGCCGCAGTAATTGGCTCAAACTGTTGCGGTGTCCCTGCCCCTAATATCATTTTGTATTTGTTGTAATGATATCTTTTGTTGATTTTAATGTTGTTGTTTATGTAATTTGGGCAAAGATAATAAAATAAAAAATAAAATAAAAACTCGTTTACTTTACCTTCTTTTATCAAATATTATTTTGTTTGATGTAAGCTTAAGTCTTATATAACGACCGGTAGCAAAATAAGATGGCATCTCCTTTGTTCCCATTTTATGGCTATTACAGGTTATCCCATCAAGTAGGTTCTGGGTTTATTAAAAGAAATTCAGATCAAGTACAAAATGTTGTCACTCCGCCTGTGAGAATACATTAGAATCCAGAAGATTCGATTTTGCCGCATCTGAGCCGGTACATGGACAATATTTCAGTTCCCTTAATACGACTCAATTTAGTTCGAGCATCTGACGTTCCTATGCGAAGATATTGCTCATAAACAGAGGAACCACCGACCGAATTTAGATAATTTGAAGTACACGCCRGGCACGAACGCGCGTCAAAACGGCCCTTTTCGATCGAGCGATCGCCATATTGGACGGGTGCTACTTTTTGGGGGGAAATGGTGACGAATTTACGATTTCAAACCGACCTGCCTTTTGAGCCCTCGGGAGCTCATCRGTTTGCCGACATGGGCAATCGGAARGCAGGGAAATACGAAGCTTTTCGCGGGCTTTATTTTGGTACCAAATTTGATTGTGTGCGGGTTTGTTTTCTTTTTGAATTGAAGACTCAAAGTTTGTGAAAATGCAATTTACTGTCAATTCAGAGAAATGATGTCAATTTGACCCTTGTTTTAACTTTTTGCAGTTTTATTAATGTATCACTAAGAATGTATATTTGAAGTCTCAAAACAATGCAGGCATTCGCCTTCTTATTTTTTTGAGAATGAGAATATTTCGCGCCGTTTTTCAAGTGTAAAATATAACGTTTGACGTGCCTCGACACTATGAAACGATTCAACGTTGTTCAGTTTATGAGGGAGTTTAAGGCCAAGAAGGCGAGATTAATTATCAAGACCGAAAAGATGAAGGAGCTCGACGAGGAGTTGAGAAGAGTAGAGGAGAGTTTACAAAAGAAGAAAGATGATCTCGAGGCAAAGAGGAAAGAAGTGGAGGCTAAACAAGAACAGCTAAATCAGTTGGATTCGAAGGTAAAGCGATTTAAATGTTCGACTTATCTTATTGTTTACATAAGACTTACTCATTGTTTACATTTTYATTAATGCGTATGCCGCCTAGCTAGCTGTTTTTGTACTGGCTACTATTAATAATGCCGTTCATGTGATATTGATTTGGCCTTTTCCTGTTTGTATTTATTTAGTCTTCTTTCAGGAGCGTCTACAGATTAGTCGTTTCAAACCAAAAATGTTTTTGCACTCTTTTGTTTTGAAAGGGCCGGTATCTTTACTGCGCGCGATATCTATATCGAATCGAATCGAATTTATAGCATTCGTTGTCCATTTTGGTAGATTTTAGGATGTGGTTTTACATGCAGGTTGGTAAGATAGTTCAGGAAGTCGAAGAGTWAGGTAGTATAGAGAAGGAGCTAAACAGAAGCGGTGTTAGAGGTCAAAAACGCAAAGAATACTATAAAAGAAGTCCCCCTGATAAGATCATTGACAGAGTAGCCAGAAAGAGAAGAAGAGAGACAATGCAGGTGCCAAAACATGATATTTAAATTATTCATTCATTCATTTATTTATTTTCTATTTTTATAACTTATAATTATATTTCATGTGTTCTTTCTTTRTATGTGTTTATAGTTCTAAATAATGGATGTAAATACTTAGGTGGTCTTAATTTTGAATTAATATTATTTTAAATTCATATTTAAATATTTATGTTTGATTATTYATTTACTTATTTATTTTTATTTTCCTATTTTTATTTTTAATTAAAATACATACTGGTATATTCATTAGGTGGCAATGAATATTCATGGTGGAACAGTGGAGGCGGCAGAGGAAGGGCTGGTGGATACAGTGGTCAAGAAGTGCAGACCAAGTCATGCWGTGGAGAAAATATGTAGCAACAGAGCCTTTATGAATGAAATTAACAGAAGAAGAAAAAGAAAAATCAGAGAATATGAAAAATCAGATAAAAATAAAATAAGAAGTGTTGCAGTATATTATATAAGACTAATGATAGTGGTAAACAGAACATAGCTTTATCTGTTGATGGTTGTTCACCTCGAAAACTTTTTCCTTATCACAGGTTAATGCCTTATATTAAGCAGATACCAATAGGTCAAGTCTACAATGTCCATGAAACTCTTTGTGATGGAATGGAGGAGAAGGTTCATGGTTGCTATAGAGATCTTGAGGAAACCCTTCTGACGCTGGCACAGTATTACTTGGACAATGATAAGTTGTATGATTTGAAATGGTTTGATAACAAGCACTATAAATTTTATGTGTCTTTAGGTGGAGATGGAGCCCCATGTGGAAAGGAAGACACAGCTTGCGCTTGGCTAGTAGGGGTACTGAACATTGGCAGAGCTGTTCTAAGCTCAAGCGAGAACTACCTTCTGTTTGGTGCTAATTGCAGTGAGGACAATCTTAAAAGGCTATGCAAGGAGATAGCAGATGTTGAAAAGAAGGAATACAGTCTCAATCATAACAACAAAGCTGTTAAWGCCACATTTACCATTGCAGAACTCCCCAATGATATGAAAATGCTTGCATTTATAAGTGGGGAGCTCAGTAATAGTGCAAAATACTTTTCATCTTTTGCAGATGTCACAAAGGAAAATGGACCTGTACTGAATGGCACTTTTGGTAAAGACCCTAAAAACACTTGGCGTCCTTGGGTATACAAAGAAAGACTGAAAGTTGTAAGAAAAGTTGAGRAGATGAAGCAGAAGCTATCAAAAGTAAAG